ATCCAAGCTGAACTCAACCCCAGCTGCCCTCTGGCAGAGTGTGCCAGGGAACTGGCTCCATTTGCCTCACTACTCACAACTCTGAGTTTATTGTGGGGATCAGGAACCAAGGGGAAAGAGGGTCAGTGACGCCTGGGAATCAGACTCTGGAGACCAGACACAAAGATGCAGATCTAACTTTAAATGACTGAAAGGCCAATCAGACCATCCCATGCTAACCTCAAGCACCAGTAACAATCAGGTTGGTGCGACTATACGGCAATATGGGAGATGCAGGGGGTGGGCAGGCCACCTTAGGAGACTTCCGTAAAGAAGGGGAAAGCAGTCACAGTCCCAGCCTCAGATCCGTTTTGAGGCTTCACTAGTGTGCTAGGAGTCCCTGGTAGATCAATGCTGTGTGCACTGAATCTGTATCTTTCCTGGGGCCGTCAGAGTCACTGACACTTTACTCGCTATTCCCTATAGGGCCTCCAAAAGGCTTACCTCGACATTCCCCACAGTTTATGGCCGTATACAAAAGAGCATGTGAAGTGGGCTATATGCCCAGGGCGTAAAATATATGCTCCTAGGACAGAGGTGTTCTTCAAGGCTGAACCCCAAATTACTGGGTAAAGAAGCTGTTAGTTCACCCAACCAAATTCCTCAGAAATGTACTTGTTGAGAGAGCTTAGTAGACCGGGTGGTGAGAGGCTTTGGCACCTGAGGAAGGAAACACATTGGTGTCCATCCCTGATAAGCTAATAATACCCAGACCATATGCTGACATGGCTCCTTCTGATGGGCTTCATTCCCGGATCCATCAAGCCCCAGAAACATCTGCTGACATGGCCCTTAGCACTGATGTGGGTTCACAGCACTGAACTTGCTGATGCAGGGTCAAGCTGTGGCCCCCCACCGACACCAGCCGTTTACTCACAAAGAAACAGCTTCATCTCTCTGAGTCTGTCTTCATATGTGTAAGAATTGATGAAAAAACTGTATCAGAAAAAAAACTGATCAGCAGTCCTTGGGGAGCTACATAAAAGAACTGATAATCCATAGTATCTTAAAATACAGGTTTGGGTTACACAGCATTTGCATTGGAATCAGCAAATGGATTCACTGCAGATAAATTTCGTATCAAAAGAGAAAGTTAAGCACATACTCTAGTTGATCCTGGGCATGTTGGAGGGCTTGGGAGGAGAGCACGGGACAGGTTTGCGTGTGACTGTGACATATCCCCCAGAGACTTGGTGTTTCAACACTTGTTTCCCAGCAACTGGTATTGTTTAGAAACATAGGAAGGGGGAATCTTGCTGGAGGAAGTTCTTCTTGCTGGGGCAGGTCCTAGGGGTTATAGTCTGGCCCTACTTCCTTCCTGAACTCTCTCTGCCTCCTGACTGCCTCACAATGTGACCCCAGAACAGCCACAGCTACTCCTTCACCAGCACGACAGACTGTGTGCCCTCAAACTATGAAACAAAAGCAAACCCTTCCCCCCCCCTATTTTCTTCCTGTCAGATATTTGGTGGTGATGATGAAAAGAAGTAGCTACTACAGTACTGACATCTGTCACTCACTTTGCAATGCACTGGAAAATAGGATGGATACACAGACAAGGGAGAGAGATATGACACCACAAAACAAGTTTAGGTGGTCAGTAGATGGCTGCACTATTTCAAGTTTCTCATAAGAAAATGTTAAAAATAACAATTATCGTTCTTATCTAATAAAATCGTAGTCTTTGATTCTGTCGTGGTGTTTTGAACAATACTCACTGGTCAGCTGTTGATCACGACCACTGCTACCTATCATTGGTATTTTGCCGTTTAATGCATGTGCACAGCTCAGCCTCCTCGGCCAACCCTGTTAAGTCATTTTCACTTCATTATAGAGAGAAGGAAGTGGCGCCCTGGGAGACCACACAGCTCTGCCAAGCCATCAGCCAGGAGCCTATTCTGAACTAATGAGGACCAGAGGAAAAAAACAGGGCCAAGGCCACTGGTGCCAGCCTGGGAGACTCTCTGCACAGGTCACCTGAGACTCCATGCAGACATCTGTTTACATGCAGATGTCCAGGCCACCTGTAAGCTTTCTTGAACCAAAACAAAAACAAAAACATACATACCCCTCACCATCACCATGTAACAACTATAATTCCTCAGGGTTCTGTCTGGTTTTCTTTGCAGTGCTGGGTATTGAATTTAGGGCCCAGTGCTCTACCCCATAGCTGCATCTGCCCTAGTGTTTTCTTTGTGTATGGTTTTAGGGTGAGTTGCTTGCTTGTGCATGTTTGCTGAGACAGAGGCTTTCCAGGTAACATGTGACGGCCTCACACTTGCCATCTTCCAGCTTCCTATCCCATGTGTTGTGATTACAGGTATGCACCACCATGCCTGGCCAAACTGAGTTTCTTTAAATGCTCAGGGGTATACTGTAGCTCAGTGGCAGGGCACTTACTTGCCTGGCATAACCAAATGTCCTTAATTTGACCTCTAGCAGAATTTAAAAAAAAAAAAAAAGTCTGAGTCCGAGTCTGAGTCCGGAGCTTGACCTTTGAGTCTACAGGGCTTGTGACTGTCCTGAGGCACCCTGAGTGCCACCCCAGGGGTACCTGGAAGGAAATCATTTTATTTCAGAGGTAATATGTAAGTATATGTGCCTGTCTGTCTGTCTGTCTATTGGCATGACAACCAGCAGAAAGTCAAATACCTAAAATGGCCAGGGAAAGGACTAACTAGAGCCCTTCACATATTTGCTTCAGTTACAGAGTATATGTAACACTTTGCCCCAGCAGTGGACACAGCCATGTGGTGCTAAGCCATCAGAAACCAACCAAAGCACCTTGAACTAATTCTGCATGTTTATAGAGGGGCAGCTTAGCAAATACTTCACTTGTACTCAGAATGTGTCTTGCCAGGAGCTACTTCATTTCCATCAACCTCAAGTCTCTCTTGACTTTAATGAGCTGGCTGCAGTCCTCAGCATTCCATGCAGTTTACCTTTAACCCTCAACCACACATTTCAGCTGCTCAGACTGCCAAATACCACTGCATCCGGCCACAGGACGTCCCTCGTGGCCTGCCTCCCAACAGCTCTAAGCATACCTGGAATGGGGAAGGAGAAAAACACCAGTCTTTCTGGCAGCATCAGGGCAGGACCTGAGCTATCTAGTTAGTGCCTGTGCCCTGCTGCACATGGTATTTATCTTTTAATGAATGACAGTGCCCAAGAAGCTGCCCTTTTCAGAAGGATATACATTGACATGCAAATAGAGGTGGACCCTTAGAAGCAGCTGAACTCTCCAATTTACATGAGCAGCACTCCCCAAGTTCCCAGTACAGAAACCATTTAGGAATCTCCTCACCCAGTCTGGTTCATTCCAAGCTCCTGGCAGTAAGATGCTGTTGGTCTGTGGGCCACATGGAGGCTAAAGCCAGGAACCAGAAAAAAAGAAACCAACACAATCCCTGAGCTCAGCTCAGCAAGGGAGAGAGGTGGCAAAGTATGTCACAGCCCTCTAGCTATGAAGGCTACAATATGCTGAGGTCTAGTGGGATGAGTAGATAAAGGGATGCATGGGCCAGTAATACTACCAGGTGCTGCTGGAGGTTAAAAATGTCACCTTGGAACTAGACAGTTGGCTCAGTAGTTAAGGGCAGGTACTGTTCTTACAGAAAAGTCCAGTTCCTAGCATCCATATCAGGTGGTCCACAACCACCTCTACCTCCACCTCTAGGGCAACCAATGCCCTCTTCTGGATTCTGTGGGGACCTGCACCCTCAGGCACACACACACACACACACACACACACACACACACACAAGCATAACTTAATGATAATTAAAATACCTGTGTGTGTGTGTGTGTGTGTGTGTGTGTGTGTGTGTGTGTGTGTGTTTAAGTCACCTTGCTTTCTATAAAAGGCAGCCTGAGCACGGTATACCAGGATTGAATTTGGTCTGGAATAATACTAGAATTCCAGAAGCAAGTGGGAAAGGAGTATTCAATTGCCCCCCAAGTTACCTGAGTGTCCACAAGTAATTGCTACTCTCAGAGCCCTGGCCTGAGGAGACATCAATGAAGAGGCAATCACCTCCCTACTGTACCACAGCATCTATGAGCAAAACAATCCAGAGGCAGAGTGTTGGGTAGACAGTTATCCAAGGACCCCCCTAAATCACCGTCACAGCCTATGGCCATACTTCTCTGAATGCTCCCTACTTCGTACTTCATCACACACTTGGTACTCTATGCCCAGATAGTGCATAAGTTCCACTTATGAACTCAAGGAACAATATCAGCCTTAAAAAAAAAAAAAAAACAACTTTGTAAAACTTGCGTTAACTATCATGTCACCCACCACCCCCATCATAAGATATACAGAGAAAGGCCAAGTAGCTGGCATTGATGACAGTAGTTTCCTGCTTCCTGTTTAGACCATTACAGGATAACAACAGAGGACAGGGTGGTGCTAGGGACCCTGGAGCTAAGCTGAGTCAAATTAAGAGCCGACATTATGTGACCTTGGGCAGACCACTTAATCTCTGTACTGGTGGTGAGTGCTGCAAGGTCATGCCGCCCACATTCAGGCTCTGGCAGCTCTTAGCTCCTGTAAATGAATGTTCTTTGTCTTATTTGGGTAACTTCAGCTCTGGTGAACTGATATTCTGTATGCCCTGATACGCGCCACAGCCTGCCTTGTCCACCTCTCCTTGTCTTGGGATAACAGAACATCCCCAAAGCTGAAACATCTCCCAGTGCTTAGATAATTCTATGTCCTGACCCAGGCAGCAGCAGATTTGGCAGAATTGGGCCAATGCCTCTCGGGTCCCCAACATCGTTACAGGAATCTTCACACATCGGGAATCACCAAGCAAACACAGGGCCAGAGTCCTTCCAGACTAGGAACCCTTTATGCAAATGGTCACAGCAGGGGTTGTGTACCTTCCCCAAACCCAAACTACGGAAACATCCAGATCCCCCTTTGGGTGTGGAGAGCCCCAGGTGACACACAGTACCTGTAAGTGATCCTCACTTCAGTCCCAGGCTCGTCTCTCTCCCAAATCAGAGCTATGGACTCGGGGGACTTCTGCACATGTTGGTCCAGGCAGTTGACTGTGCAAAGAAAAGTTAACAGGTGTCATTCTGGATTCCCACAGAGCAGGATCTCCTCCCTGTCAGGAAAGGGTGCAGAGAACAGACACAATCACTGTATAAACGTGATATGTCTGCCATGTGACCTTCTTCACAGACTCTGACGTAGTCACACCATTCCAATGGTTCCTAATTGGCTGCATGTGGGCGTCACCACCCAAGCTTAATAGGCACTAAGCTGGACATGCCTTTCAAGAAAAGTTCTGCCCCCCTCCCCTCTGTTGCCCAAGCTCAGCTCACATGACTTGCTAGGAAAAAACAAAAAACAAAAAACAAAAAACATGGTCAGTGGGCTGAGGATGAGTGGGCTCAGTTCTGCTGACATCCTGTTCATTGATCGTTAAGTTTAAAGGTGAGTTTAACTCAGGCCAGTTCATGCAGTGCCCCTTCTGCCTAAGCACATTCCCACCAGCAGCCTCCTATGGGGAGGAAATCTGAGGTGGACTGTGGCAGGTGTCACATAACATTTGTCCAATAGAACACTGGGGCTGAAGTTCCCAGACAAGACAACCCCCCTCACAGAAGCTAAAAGCAGCTTGGGATAGAAACAGTAACAGCCAAAGCATGGATGAGGACAGTACCCTTGAGGACCCACTGCCAGTATTTCTCACCCCTGATGTGAAAAGCAGAGACTGAGCAGTCTGACCAAGGTCACACAGTGACAGATCTGGATTTGACTCAGACTAGTTCCGAGTCCCTCACGCTGCCCCTCGTAATGTCCAAACAGGCAGCCAAGAGCTGCTCCATGCAGACGGAAGAAAGCTGAGCCTAACCTGTGGCAAAAGGGAGAGGAGACATGAAGGAGGGTGATTCTGAAGACAGATGAAACATAGAACTATGGGGAACAGTGAAGTACGCTGGCAAATGAGAAGAGGCAGATCCTACAGTGGACAGAAGAACAAGGCCGTTAGAGGAAGAAACTAGTGAGCAAGCTTCACAATTCTCAGCTGAATGTGCCACCAGGCTGAGTCTAGCTTACCAGCATGGAGCTTGTGTACGTGTGTGTGTGTGTGTGTGTGTGTGTGTGTGTGTGTGTGTGTGTGTGTGGTTTGTCCAAACACCAAGGGTTTTCATCCTAAAGTCATGGTTTTATAGTCAGCAAAGAGGTCATCCCTTGGCTCAAGGTCATGACCCCAGGTGCCTGCCTGTGGAGGTGACTCTGAGCTGGTCATGACAAGTTGGGAACAGTCACCTGAGAATCAGCGATACAGAAAGTCCTAAAGAAGAATCAGGACAGGACTGGTTAAGAGCAGGAAGTCTGGGCTTTTCTGGGCACGTGGGAGCTAGTGATAAATTCAAGTCCTTTACCGCCTAGATGAGTTCAGAAACTCATCTAGGAGATGTGTGCCCATATTCTCCCCAGAGAACCTCTGCTCTAACCCAACCTGACATTTGTCACCCTGAAGAGTGGACTGGGTCAAATGCAACAGAAAGCAGCCTTACAAGAGAACCTGGTGTCATGCTGCACCTGCCCAAACTTAGGTCAGAAGGGCTCAGACCCCACAGAATAACACTTGCTCCCACGACAACCAGGGCACCGGTCATCCTTGGACCCCAGAGAGTGACTGACCCTAAACCACACAGCCCAGAATAGTACCCTGCCTGTTTTATGCCAAGAAAGGAGGCAGTTGGAGACAGGGGATGAAGAAGGCGTGGCACAGGTAGAAAGCACCAGCGTACATCTCTTCCTGAGGCTGAGAGATGCTACAAATCTAGGCAGCTCAGAATAGATCCCTAAGTCCAGTCTCCCCCAGAAGTCTCCCACACAAAGGAGATGCTGCATCACTGGCTACCAAGGGCCCGAGAGACATTCCTCTCCCTGCTGGACAAACCACGTCCACAGAGCTACCCCTGCCCCAGGGCCTTTGCTCTGGTTTCCCCTGCCTGACACTGCTACAGATATCAGTGAATATTCCTCTCCTTGTACATGTTCCTGTCTATGAACCTCATGCTTTTCACACTTGAGTGGTATCGGAATCCCCAAAGAGCTTGTTAGCACATAGCAGTCTAGGCCCCATGAAGCACACCAGCCCCTGGCAAAGCCTGTGCATAAAACAAACAGTCCTACTGCAGCCTGTCTTCAGACCACACAGAGGTAGAGGCCTGTGTGTTTACAGGTACACCTACTCTATAGCTTCCAGATTCCATTGGGATCCCATTTCTTTCTCTTCCTGGTGGGGGCTGGGGTAATAAAGGTCTTTGCTAACCCTGTGTGACACCTGGCCATGCCTTGCTGGCTGGCAGCGTGGGGCTGCCTGAAAAATCCTCAAGTCTGGCTCCTGGCCAGTCACTCATTAGCTACAGACAATATCCTTGTCGTTTACTTCAAGTCTCAGCTTTTTAATCAACAGGGTGGTATAGCAACCTCTGACTCTGGATGAGTCTAAGAATTAGTTGCCCCTTAGTGTGTCATAAGATTGGGTCTGAGGATGTCACAATGTCCCCAAGGAACATGCCAACAGAATAATCCCATTTCTTAGAGCCACCACAGTATGAGGCCTGACAGAACCATGGCCCTAAAATTCCATGTTTGTGCACATATTACAGTTCCTTCTGCTGCCTCAGTTACAGGAAAAAGAGGGAGGGAGGAATGCAGAGAGAAAAGGAAAGAAGCAAGAGGAGAAATAGGAGAAATAGGGAGATGAGAGGAAGGAGGAATGAAGGAATACACGGAGGAAGAAACGCTCCCTGAATTTACAAAATCCCTACATTAAAAAAAAAAGTAACTCAATCCAAAGAACTGGGCAGTGAGACAAGAAAATTCCACCTTCAAGCATTTACAGGAAGAATTGGACCAGGGGCCAGCACAACTGACAGCATAGCTCAAACCCCACCTTCTATTGTAAGCCATCCAAGTCCCCAGCACACAGTGAGCTTCGGGCCTCCTACCTCTCAGTTGACCTACACCATGTAACATTTTCTTATTCTGCTCAGGAGTCCCCATTCTAGGGCACAATACTCCTTCCCCCACCATCTGGGTCACAAGGACCATCAGGCCGCTTCTCACAGGGACTGGTGAAGAGCCACAGTTCTTCCCCAGCCCTGGGGAAACCTGGAGCACATCGCCCCCGTACAGTCTTACTCGTTCACTGTGTTAAATAAAAATTACAGGAGACCATTGTTTTAGTCTAACCCTCTAGCACAGGCCAGACTAAAAGTTAAAATGAAGTCGTTCATGCTAAAGTTCACATCACCAAGCAGTCACTGTAGTATGCGGCCCAGCCCAGATCCTAACACAGCCGATGAGCAGTTAAGTTGACGCTTGTTAGTGAATCAGAGATTTTTAGTTTTACTAACACACACACAAGTTACTGACGTGTTATTATTTCCATTACAAAGATGATACACAATAATGAAGGAATTTTTACCCCCCCCCCAACCCTACAGGACTAGGAATGGAATGCAGGGTTCCCACATGCTAAGTACTCAACTACTAGGCCACACCCCCATTCCAAAAGTTCTGATTGGTTGTTTAAATATACCTCCGCTTACACCCAGCTCAAATTCAAGTGAACCCAGCACAGAAAGCTTCAATCGTCATAAAAAAGAAACTGGGGTTAATAAGTACATGAAGAATCACAATGGCTTTCTTTAAATAGCGAACTTCCCTGGCACATTGTGAGAACTTTCATTCCAAACGTTGTATTTGCCAACTTTCCAGAAGCAGCTGCTATTTAAAGCAAGTCATGCTTCTGACAACTGAGAAGAATCCTGATTCTTCCCGAAGCTCTGCCTCATGACATTGGAGCTACCTTTTCCTTTGGAGTTCCTTTAAGAACTTAGACAGCTTTGTCGGCCATCATCTCAGCCTCAGCCTGACCCTGAGTCACCACCGTCGAGGAAAGCGCATCAGCAACATGACTTCTATCTAGGCAGTGCTCCTAGAGCATCGAGGGTGTACTTGGCACTCCTCGGCAGAACGCCAACCTGGCCTGTGTGAGGCCCTGTGCTCCGAGACTCCCAATGTGGTGGAGGCGGGCGGGGGGAGCACAGGAAGTCTCTCGGTATTCAATGGTTAGTCTGAAATGTTTTATTTGAGTCTGGTGAGATGGTCAAACACCTTTAATCTTGGTAGGAGGCAGAGAAATAGGTGAATTACAGGCCAGCTTGATCTACAAACGAGAAGTTCTTGCTAGAATAAGAATAAAAATGCACACATTGAAATAAATCAGACTTGAGGTCTAGGGTTTAAAAAATAGAACTAAAATGTGTGTGGTGAAAGCAATACATACCCTGTAACCCCCTGGTTCTGGATTTGCAGTTTCCTGGCAACCTGAGTGTACATACCCAGAGCAAAATTAATTGTGGAGCCCTACAGGGAACAGAGTCAAATGATCAAGGCCAGAAAGAATCCCTTTTACAATGTGGCTTTCCAAAGACCCTACTGGGAAGTATTTTTCATAAGGCATTAGAGGCAAGTCAAGGAAGGGCCTGAAGACTGCACATCTCCCCAACCCCCATTCCCAGCCAAAGGGCTTCCAACATCACAGCTCACTGTCACAGCTTGGACGCTGTGTGTGTGGTTCCTTGAGATCCACTCAGGCACTCGCGCCCCCTTCAGCTCTTGCTTCCCACCCATCCCGAGTTATGGGCCTCAAACAATGGGGTCTGATGCGATGGCACAGTACCCAACAGCGCTTCTGAAGGAAAAACTCAAGGTCACTGCTTCCCCAAGTGTTTCACTAATAATTAACAGCAGCGGGTGGTTAGGGCCGCAGTGTTGTAAGGGCTGTGTCAAAGCCTTATCTCACCTAACCCCAACAAGACCCCAGCTGGGTTTGCCGAGAACAGCATCAGATAGGCAACGAGTGCAAACACGTACGCTCCCCACCTCAAACAGGCTGCTCAGGAGAAGTCTTAATTTCTGCAAGAGTGTCTTGACCCTTTGGACACACAACCCTCCATGAACCTAGGCACTGCAGTGTGAGAAGCCTTGTGTGGTTCTCAGGACAAGTTTCAGTTGAGCCTAGCCTGAAATGTCACTTACCACAACTGTTTGAGTCCATTCTCTGGCACTATGATTAAATAACAGAGGATGGCTGTCTTTACAAAGAAAAACAATTATTTAGCTCATAATATAGAAGTTCCGAGACTTGCACCTGTTGATGTTGTTTATGCTGAGAGAGTCTTAAGACAATGCAGATCATAAGGCATGAGATGTCCATTAACTCTTCTGGCCTCTCCCTCTCATAAAACATCAAGATCTGAACCTTTTATCTCAGTCATGATAACATCTCCTAATCCTAGTTACCTCCCTCATAATACCTGAGAAGGGAGCTTTATGGAAGAGTTTAGGGGATGAACCATGTTCTCACCACATCAGCTACTCAGGCCCCAAACAAGGAAATGAGAAACAGGCAGATGACTCCCACTTGAGACATCAAGGAAAGGAAAAAAGTTGACCCCATAGGCCCTGTCCAGAGTCCTGACCTAGGACCTCAGAGGGTAATAAAATGGTGGTTATCCTGCAGCACTGCTAAACTGAGAGTATGCGACAATGGAAACCACAACAGTGTTCCAGGACACACTGCTATCTTTAGTTTACATGGGAAACACGGGAAGCCCAGGGCAGTAAGAGTGAGAGCCGGGTGTAGCTCAGAAAACATGGAAGAAACCAGCAAACTGTGCTGGTCCAAGTACCTGCAGGGCCTTTATCAATCACAGCTGGAAAATGCCGGGGTATGGAATTTCTAAACCTAAGGGTGTAGAGCAGGCCCCAGAACTTGCATTTCTAAAAGTGAAGATTGCTGGCCCAGCAGCATTTGTCTGGACTTTTGAGAAGAATTAGTCTGGAGATCCCTGAAAGGATAATAGTGTCATGCTTTTTTTTTTTTTTTTTTTTGAACATACTGGCATTATCACACATGACAAACAGATCAGGCCCAAACAGCTCAACCACATCACAATTTTCTAGGTGGCTCCCAGAGCAGCTGCAGTCTGTCCCCATTTCACATTGTAACCTCTGGAGTTTGCAGACACTGGCAAAGGACAAAGATGAGCCAGGCCTTTGGAGAAACGGCTTTCCTGAAGGTCAGTTTGCTGAAGTTCAGCCTCTGGATCACACAGCTCTGAAGGTGGAAGAACATAGAGGCCAAAGAATTCCTTGACAACCACACCCAAGTCACAACGTAGGTCGATACCACTGCTTATCAGCTGCAAGCTTGGGCGTCCCAGCGGCCTTGGCTTCTTAGGCCTGAGAAGGTTTCTGGCCTCTTCCTTCGACAAACTGCTTTACTCACTTCAAAGTCACATTCCGTCAGTTCTGCATACCCAAGAACTTCTTACCCCAAGTTCAAGAAGCTGCTGACTCAAGTCTAAAGGCAACCCTTATCTAGTAAGAGACTCATTTGGATTAAACTTGCCAAGTAATATACAATGGGGTGGGGGAGAGGAATGCTGGTCCAAAGTTTCCTTAAAGTTTTGAGCTTGAAAAAGAAAATAAAAGAGACACTGTAATTTCTGAGTATAGTAAATCAGAATTGCTACAACTTATTGATCGCCTGTAAATCTGCACAGTGCTGGGTCTCCCAGCACTGTGCTGCCACAGCCGGCCTAACAGGTGAGTATCAGTTCCCCATTTTACAAACGGGGAGACTGAGATGCACCAAAGTTGAATAAGGGATAGTGAAACTGCAGACTCGGATTCCACCTCTAACGCTGGTTCCTGAGCAAAGCCTCACCTTGTCATGAGGACCTTCTGTTCCTTTCTTATGCCTCTCTGACCCACACAACTCTCACTTCCATCCCACTGGAAGGCAGAAGTCCGGAACCCCTGCTGTGCCCATAGGGGCTCGGCCTATCAGTCCAACCCCTCCTTCAGTTCTCACCGAGAGGACTTGTAGTGCTTGAGTGGGCAATGTTAGGTGCCTGCCTCCAACCTTCGCAGCACAGAATTCAGGTTCATCAGAAAACTGACAGCTAGAGTGACTGGTGTTTCTTTTGGAGAGCAAAGAGGAGGCTACATAGTCCAAGCTGCCTTGAGCTCAGCTCCTCTCGGCTCAGACTCTAGAGTGCTGGGGTAACTTGCCTTTGCTAAGGCAGATGTTTGTCTTTGAGGTGCAGTTCTGAGACCCAGAACTTCCTGCCCACGTGCCCCTAAGGGAGGAGATAACCAGTTTCCTCCCAGAGGCTGGCACTTTTTTCTTCCCGCACCCACTAGGGCTGTTTACACTGCAGGGCTTGTCCTCAGGGGAGCCGCTGGCGCTAGCACTGTAGCTGCTAGTGGCCACCTACACACTTTGCATTTATCCTACTGATCTGGGGGCCCCTGAGCAGAAAAGCCTGGACTCTTGGAGCTTGGGCTCTCTCCACTTAGGCCTATCCAGGGTCGGAAGCTTTGTGCCCACCGTACTGGGTATCCCCGAGACTAACGTCTGAGGACAGTGCCCCCAGAGTCTGCGCTGGCATAGGCCACTCTGACTTTCAACTAGTTATCCTTAGCTTCCCGCTTGAGACAACAACGCTGCAGATTTGGGCGCGCAGCTGCTGCTCCGCCGGCTGCAGTCTCTGGACCCAGTGGGCTACAGAACAGGGTGACGTGGCACAAGGATCAGAGTGGGCGGTGAAGCATTCTGGAGAAAAGGGCCAAGGCCTGAGGACAGCTGTTACCGACTGGGGCCTCCGCAGTCTCGGCGGGACTGCACTTGGCCCCCAGAAACCCACTCACCAGACACATTCAACTGGCCTCCCAGGAACCAGCCGATCTTGCCCGTCCTGAAGTCGCAGTCCCAGACAGTGTGGTAGGGGGTGTCCCAAACTAGTGTGTCACGGGCCAGCGGCCCCCAGAAGGCGGCGGGCTCCTGAGCCGCCTGAGCGCTCAACGCGGGGTACGAGCCTGGCTGCGCTGCGGCGGGAACGCTACCCAGCAGCCGGGTGGCGGTCGAGCAGGACAAACTCGGCGACCACCCCGACTGTCCCGAGCGCCCGTGCAGGCCACGCAGCAGTCTCCCCACACCGCTGCCGAGGCTGCGCGCCGCCATCTCGCTCGACGTCCCACGCGGGTGCAGGAGCCTGGGCGCCCCTAAGAGTCTTCACCGCCCCGCCCAGGCTCCGCCCTCGCGGCCACCACCCACTTCTCTCCAGTGGAAGCCGCTTCCTTGAGCCAGCCCGGGGTCCGACCTCTTCTCCCCGCCTGAAGAGAGGCGGGGGAAGGGGTATGCTTTACTGTGCGTCCAGTGCCAGGCTAGCCTGCGCTCGCGGCTTCAGGTTCCTAAGTTTCCGCGATCGCTCTTTACAAACCAGACAACTTTCCCTGCTCCGGACTGCAGCAAGTGTGTGGGTGGCCCAGCCGGGTTGGAAAAGCAGCTAAGGGGCCCTGAGAGCAAGTGTACAGATGGTGTGGATGAACCGTCAGCCGTTTCAGCATTCCAGAGACTGAAGTCAGATCTTTCCTCCCTCGGTGACCTTCTGAGCGTAAAGCCCTCTCTCAATGGTGCTGGCCTGTACAACCTCGTCCCTCACACACAACTGACCCCTGGCAGGCTAAAGAGTTGATGAACAAGCCTGGGCGACCTTCAAACCGGGAAGGCCTGAGTCCGGTGACAATTATTCCCCAACTGCTGAGCTTTATCCTGACAGGCGCCGCTTCTTACCCTGGGAACCTTCTCAGATTTAAGGTGGTGGGGAGCTGTGGTAAAGAACAAGTAACGTCCACAGCATGCCTGGCCTGGTGGGCACTCTGTGCCATCAGCTCCGTCATGAAGACAAAGTTGTTGTCTTCAAGAGTAGAAAGAAATGTGTCTCTACCAAGTACTTAAATGAATACATAATAAAAAAGTAAACACCAGGGGTGGGAAATTTTGGAAAACTGGTTTGTGGAGTTCTTCGGGCTGGCAAAGACTCCTTCCTGTTGGCTGTGACAGCTGCAGATAGGCCGTTCCGTTGGAGGGGATACTGCGGGTGAGTTGCTGAGAAGGGAGAGCCAGAAGGCAGTGCCCATAGCTAGCGCACACACATGCCCTGCCCTCTGCCAAGCACTTGTAGTTAATTTAAAAGTTAGGTAAGTTGTGCGCCTCTAGGGTCCCAGCTATTCAGGAAGCTGAGGCAAAAAGATCACACGCCGGAGATACTGAGTTTGAGAGTAGCCTGCGCAGCGTTTCAAGACTCCACCTTAAGGAACAAAGCCAACCCAAAACTTGGCTGGGGCCAGAAACAAAACAAGGGAAAACAAAAGGTTATATAGTGCTGGAATAAATAAGGAAGCTGTCCAAACATTAAAAAAGAAAAGGAAGAAAGAAAGAAAGAAAGAAAGAAGGAAAGAAAGGAAGGAAGGAAGGAAGGAAGGAAGGAAGGAAGGAAGGAAGGAAGGAAGAGGGAGGGAGGGAGGGAGGGAGGAAGGAAGGAAGGAAGGAAGGAAGAAAGAAAGAAAGAAAGAAAGAAAGAAAGAAAGAAAGAAAGAAAGAAAGAAAGAAAGAAAAGGAAAAACATGCAGCTGAATGATGGAAAAGGAATGTTAGCACCCAGCATTCCCAACTATACCATCAAGTCCCTGTTTGAATTGAACATATAAAGTTATAAAGAGGAAGATCAGACTCGGCCAGGCGGTCTGAGATACCCATCCACCCTTCCTCCTCTACTGTGAACTTGGGCTTTTCCTGCTCCATCAAGACAAGGAGGCTGAGTTGGGGGTGTGACAGCACAGGTGCCCAGTATGCACAAGGCCCTAAGTTCTATCTCCAGCACATGTAACCCTCTAAAAGGATGAGGATCTTGGCTTCCTCTCAAGTCTGGGTTGCTGACCTCCTAGCTTTCCTCCGAGGATCTGGCAGAAGCGGTGTTTAACAGTCTTTGGCTAGAATCTGAGACTGTGGCAGTCCCTAGTGCTGCTTTTGTTGCTTGCTTGCTTGCTTATTTCTCAGCTGCCATGCTGTGAAAGAGCTGATCCTGCTTCCTGGAGGCAAAAAGCCCACAGAGAGACTGGAGCTGCACCAGTACATAGCCAGGACCAGTCCTGGACCGAGGTATATCCACCTCCGATGTTCTATACCAGGTAGGGGAGCCCCACCCTCAGCACAAAAGATCTTCCTGATGATTTGCAAGGTTGGAAGACGTCTCAAACAGACATCTCAAACTTTATTCCTCAGCCATAGTTCCCTGGCACAAGAACCACCCCAGAAGCCCTCCTCTTACCACTTCCTACAGCTCGTCCCCTGCACTGCTTCCATTTTCTCCCCTTGCCCTCAGCGTGCTAGAGTGTCACTTCTCAACCCTCCACTTTTCCCTCCAGGTTCCCTGGAGATAAGAGTTAGAGCTCTCAGCTTGGCATAGAGGCACATGCCTGTAATCCCAGCACTTTGAGAGCCAGAGGCAAGCAGATCTCTGTGAGTTCAAGACCAGCCTGGTCTACAAAGTGAGTCTAGGACAAGGCTACACAGAGAAACCCTATCTCAAAACAAGTTAGCGCTCATCCTCTGACTTTCAAACTGGACCCCCATAAACCAGGACCTTTCCTCCAATTTTAGCCCATATTCAAATGTTAAGATTTAGTTTTGTATTTTGAAACAGGACCAGCCTCAGACTACAATGACCTTGACCTTCTTTTCTTTCTTTCTTTCTTTCTTTCTTTCTTTCTTTCTTTCTTTCTTCCTTCCTTCCTTCCTTCCTTCCTTTTTTTTTTTGTTTGTTTGTTTGGTTTTGGTTTTTCGAGACAGGGTTTCTCTGTGTAACCTTGGTTGTCCTGGAACTCACTCTGTTGACCAGGCTGACCTCCAACTCAGAGATCCACCTGTCTTTGCTCCCCAAGTTGTGAGATTAAAGGCTTGAGGCACACCACCCAATTGACCCTGCACTTCTAATCCCTCACCCTACCTGCACTTCTTGAGCTTCACAGGTATATGTCACCATACTTTGTGTACGGGGTGTTGGAAAACAAGCCTCAGGCTTCAAGCATACTAGGTGAGCACTCTGCCAACTGAGTGCATCCTCAGCCCCTATTCAAATGTCTAAACAACCTTTTGAATGTACCACATCTTGAAGACACTTCCTCAAACCCTGGCCCTCCAGATCAGAGAAGGGAAGCATAAGCCACATAACCTTGCCATCCCAGATGCCTCTCACCGTATGACACTAGCAACCAATCAGCAAGTCCCCCGGGACCACCTTCAGGATAATACCCGACCTCTGCATACACACCCACCACCATTCATCTTCCATCTGAACTGTATTCAGCTTTTGGGTTGTTTTGTTTTTTAATTATAATTCAATGGGCTTCTAATTGCATCTATCCCTTCCTTTTATGGCCCAATCAGCCAATGTAGTTTCTTTAAAACAAAGGTTAAGGGCTGGAACCATCTGGAGCTGTGACTCGGTGGTAGAACCCAGCATGTGCAAGGCCCTGGGTTCCATCCCCAGCATCCAGGGTGGGGGGAGAAAGAAAGGAAAAGCAGGATAGAAAAAGAAAGCAAACATGTATACTTAGAACCAGCTCATCTCCTTCACTCCATTCCTCCCAATCACCCTCAGCCACAAGGCTCATCCTTCATACTGGAAGAGCTGCTGTTCGTGGACTTTCCATCATGTGCATCTTCTGGGAAGTCTGAAACATGCAGAATGTAAGGCCGCACCACAGGCTCTGCGCGTCACAAGTTGCATGTTACGACACCCTCAGAAGCCATACGTGCACAGTAGAATATGAAAAATGCCACATTAGCCAGGTTACAGGGGCTTGTGCCTACAGTCCCAGCTACTTGGGAATCTGAGGCAGGGGGATCCCTTGTTAGCTGAACAACATAGCAAGACCTTGTCTCCAAGAGGAAAAGTGAAGAGAAAGGGGAGAGGGGATCTAAGAGGAAGGGTTCTATCTGATCCAGCCTCACCCCCTCACTTTCCCAGGCTGCCACCACCCTGGGCTCCTGTCCCCCCAGCAGCAGGCACATTCCTGTCTCAGGACCCTTCCACATGCTATTTCTCTTGCTAGAATCACTTGTCCTAGAAAGGCATGTAGACTACCTCCCCCCACTTCCCTCAGGCCTCTTCAAACTCTCTTTATCCACCAACTTCTTCTGCCATCTACATAGACTCAGCACCTCCACACCTCACACCCACATTTGACCTCTGACTTTTCTGCTCTCCGTAAGCTTTTTGTGTGTCGTGCTCTCTTCTTGAAAGCAGGAAGGTCTTTGTGGGGAAGGGGAAGATGCCAATTTCTATGTTTAGGATTCTGTCTCCAGCACCTAGAATCTTCCTGGCATAAAGTGCATGCTCAGAAGATGTTTGTTGAATGAGTGAGTGAGACAGTACAGGCAGCTTCTCTATGGTTGCCCTGGGATGTGTGGGTAGTTCATCCTCTGTCATCTTTGCTTTCTAAGAAATGTATTTTCACAGTGATGAAAGTCTGTAAAATGAAAACAAACAAACAAACTTACTTTTCTCCACTGCCCCCTCTCTTTAACTTTTCGCTACCACTGAGCTACAACCCGTCCTCTGATCTATTTTCAAATGAAGAAACACCACACAGTTCCTCTTTGTATTGGATATGTACATGCTGCTCAGCTAAGAGACCACAAGTCGGCCTTCCTCCAGAGTGTCACAGCCTAAGATGAAGGCTCTGAAGCTAGACGAGTGAGCCTTAGCCAGCCCTGTGTTGCTTTCCTGGAGCTCAGTTCTGAGAACATGGGTCATCTGGGCCACGTTGGCCACACTATTTTTTCCTTTCTGGAGTCTGGCTTTGGAGTCAGCAGCTCCAGGGCTGGAATCCTCAGGGTACAGGTACAGGAAGAAGGCCTGGTTTTTGTCTTCCATCTCAGCGCTGGTGCTTCAAGCAGGATTTTTTTTTTTTTCAGCAGGATTTTTTTTTGAGCTTTCAAGCCCTGAAACCTGATGCACTTGTTCTCACTCTGCCTAGGGGCAGCAAGCACACAAGACCAGAAACTAGGCAGCCATCATGGGTAACTCTAGGCCTCCAAGGCTCACTGGGAATTTCCAGGGGTGCATACCTCTATCACTCCTTTTCTTTTGCTTTCATGGCTCCCAGCCCACATCTCCAATCCACTTAGG